CTAGTAATTTCTCTTATTTCAAACTATACTATATTATTTTTATATAAGGATATTGATTTATTTTTATATCAAAATTATTTCAGGTTTGAGGATTTCTCCATACGAAGTGGTGGCTTGTGCTATTTTATTTTTTTAGTTATTTATCAACTTAAGTTCGGTGGGTTTATGGATTATTTTTTCTAAAAGGTTCATAAATGGGTGGGTATTCGAATTATGGTTTTTCTTCCATAAGAGGTTTGTACTCATAATATGGCTTATCATCTTTAGGTGGTTTGTAATAAGTAGGAGGATAGTCAGAATATGGTTTCTTATCTTTTGGATCTTTGTAATAAGTTGGTGGTTTGTATTCATAATAGGACTTATCATATTTAGGTGGATAGTCAGAATATGGTTTCTTATCTTTGGGATCTTTATAATAAGTTGGTGGTTTGTATTCAGAATATGGCTTATCATCTTTAGGCGGGTAGTCATAATATGGTTTCTTATCTTTGGGATATTTGTAATAAGTTGGTGGTTCGTATTCAGAATATGGCTTCTCATCTTTTGGTGGTTTGTAATAAGTAGGTGGATAGTCAGAATATGGTTTTTCATCTTTGGGATATTTGTAATAAGTTGGTGGTTTGTATTCATAATATGGCTTCTCATCTTTACGAGGTTTGTAATAAGTAGGTGGATAGTCATAATATGGTTTCTTATCCTTGGGATCTTTGTAATAAGTTGGTGGTTTGTATTCATAATACGACTTATCATCTTTAGATGGATAGTCAGAATATGGTTTCTTATCTTTGGGATCTTTGTAATAAGTTGGTGGTTTGTATTCATAATATGGCTTCTCATCTTTAGGTGGGTAGTCATAATATGGTTTTTTATCTTTGGGATATTTGTAATAAGTTGGTGGTTTGTATTCAGAATATGGCTTCTCGTCTTTAGGTGGTTTGTAATATGTAGGTGGATATTCATAATATGGTTTTTCATCTTTGGGATATTTGTAATAGGTAGGCGGATAATCATAATATGATTTTTTATCTCTATAAGATTTATAATCGGGTGGGTAGTATGGTTCGTGATATGATTTCTCTTCTAATAAGTTAGACTCAAGGTTTAAAGGCTCGATCATAGAACTTTTGTATTCATATGGGATGTAATGGTAATTAGCAAGAGAGGGGGTGATGAGAACAAGCAATGGAAGAAGAAGCAACATGACTACGGAGTTTGTTTGAGGAAACATCTTGGACTACTTTCTAGTACTGAAAAACAAGAGAGATACGAGCCCTTTTTATAGTCCAAGTCTTGGGCCTTCCATTTTGTCCTACGCTCAACTTCTTTTCTTTAAGGTTGCTCTTAATTGGAAGAGTGCATTAG